GCCTGCTGGGATCAACATCTGACCTCTTGTACTTGAAGATATTCAGAATTAAGGCTGAGTGCAACGCAGGGCCACAGAATGAGTATTTTTCCTTCTTGAGCTCACAAAAGACTGTAAGTGCTGGATAAGCTACATTTCCTTTCTCAAGTGTGGATTCTACAGTGCTGGCAAAACCAAGTGTAACTAATTATGCTGATATAGTCATAAGTAAGTGTAAATACGGTAAAATATATCATTTTTTATTATCAGTCAAAGAAGAAGACTGCAACATAGCAATGTACGCAGAGCCACACTAGCCCACAAAGTCAGCACATGCATAACCAAAACTGGTATATAAATCTATAATAATATTGTAACTAAAAACAAATAAGGCAAAATCCACCTGCAACCTATCCACATCAGGAATTACTTTATGTTAACAGCCCAACCACTTCCCCACTGCAGAACACACGCACCTTTACCAAGGGTCCTTAACCGCACCGCACACACACACAGCTTTCCCAGGAGGCTCCCGAAGGCCGGGCACCAGAAGGCGGAAGCCCTCCTCTCGTTGGGGAGACAGGAGCCTCTGCTACACGAAAATGAAAGGCAACGTGCCTGAGCCGCAGGGGAACCGCGCTACCTCCAACAGAAGGCGCTTACCTGATTGGTGACCTGAAAAAAAAGAAGAAACGGAGCGGGGTTACGAGCATAGTGGAGCCTGAGAGCTGGCACCCACCCCCTGCCACCAGCACCCCGATAGCGAAATCCAGCATCCCCACGCCGCCCCTTCCCTTCCTTTTTCCTTCCCTCCCTTTTTTCCTTCCCCCCTTTTTCCCTCCCTCCCAGGCAGCGCCCTTTCTCCCCGCCGCTACCCCCAGTCACCCTCCCGTAGCACTCACGTCGGGGTTGGCCTCCAGCGGCAGCCAGCGATGCGGCTCCATGGCGGCGGGCAGCACGATGCTGACAGCGCCCGGCACCGCCTCGCCTCAGCGCTGACCCGGGGCCGCGCCACCGAGACGAGCGAGACCGGGGGGAGCCGCAAGGGAAAACAGCCGTCCCGCACCCCCACGCACAGCTCGCCCGCCCTGCCGAACAGCCGAGCGAGACGCCCCGCAAAGCGCCGAACGCCCTGCCCCGTGGATACTCTCGCACAACAACGGTCAGAAGATTTCCCGTTGCCCGCCCCTCGGCTCCCCCCGACAATGGATTCTCCCAGCAGGACACAGGGTGGTGCCTCAGCCGCCCCGCCCCGTGCTCCCTCCCACTGGAACCTGCGCAGCGAGCGGCAGCCACGGGGGGGTGCTCTAACGGCGCTGGGCCGCACAGCCGCTTCCCGCCTCCCGCCCCCTCCGCCCAGAGAGCGCTTGGAGACCGGCGCCAACAGCCGCTGTTGGAACGGAATAGTCTTTAAGGTCCCTTCCGCAGTTCATCAGCAGGGCAAAGCCGTAAGAAAAGGGATGCGGAGTTGGAAAGAACAGTGTTTAAGAAATGCAGTAATCACAGAGGATGATTTCCTTCAAAAAATCTGTTTTACGGTGCACTCAAAGCAGTGGCAGCAAGTCGCCTCACTCCGGTAGTGAGCTCCATTTTCTCTTCTAAAGCTGTGAATCCTCTCAGGTCTTCCCACCTCAGAAGCACATATATTCACTTCTTTGGCTTAGATCATATCTGTTCATCCTTTTGGCTAAGATCAAGAGAAGTATAATATACATAGATGGATGGAGTGCTGGTAGCCAGGGTGCCTACCTTCTGCCCTCTGCTTGGAGCACTGCCAGCAGGCAGCCAGTAGGAGGCAAGAAGCTGTAAGAAAAAGCAACCACACCAATGCCCGTCCCTTCAGTGGACTGCAAGGGAGCTGCCACCTGCTCGTCATCATGGGGTCAGAGTGCTTGCGAGAGCAGCTGCACATTCATTTCACAGGGTGGATGCCTGGAAAAGCTTTTTATGATAGCCTTAATCCGGACCCCCAGGCCCATCCAGCTTTCACTGCCATGAAGAGATTCAGAGCAGCAGGATGCCAGAGGCTGAGCTGTGCTTATGCCCGGAAAGAGATGCTGTGCCAGCTTACAGGCAAACCACAATCTCACAAGAGCAAGAGTGAGTGTAATGAGAGCAGTGTTACTCTCAGAGACAGAGTACCAAGGTGACAGGAGGCCAGGAGAGGCAGGGGTTCTAGACACCACACGGCTGAGGCCCTGGCATTGGAGAAATACAGCTGGTACCAGAAATGCATTCTGCCTTCTGTCTGAAGAGCTATATGCAGAATTTCATGTAGTTCTGTAGTGAGGGCTGATGTAAATAGTGCCCTATTCTGAACATTACATTTGTGAAATGGAGTAAATTACCTAGTTTTTAATTTACCCCTGTTACTAGTAAGCAGGACTATTGTTACACGCTTGTGCCTGAACATTCTCTATTGACCTATCAATAACATCATAGTGCATCTCTTTAGCAATCCAGTCTATTGCTGGCTCATGAGATTTGTCTCTTTCTACACAAAGTGTCTCCTCACATTAAGCTCTCAGTCCTTTTCAAGCTAGAAGATGGGCCTTTACTCTCAGTTTGCAGTCACAGCCATTACCTATCTTCCTCTGCCACACAAAGCTTCAGAAATTATATTTACAAAAGGCAGAGTTGTCTAAACACAAGTTAATACTGTGGATGGACTGACTAACTGAAATCATTAAATACTTAACCACCTGCTTCTCTAAATTCAAAGAACTATGCATATGTTTGCAGACAATACTGAATTAGAGGAGCTGTTGACTCCCTTGAGAACAGAGAAGCCTCACAGAGAGATCTTGTCAAATTGGAGGGCTGGGAGATCACCAAGTGCATGTAGTTCAACAACAGCAAGCACTGGATTATGCATCAGGATATACGTATAGACTGGGGGCACAGAGCTGGAGAACAGTCATGCAGAAAGGGATCTGGGGGTGCTGGTTGACAGCAGTCAGCAGTGTGCCCTGGCAGCCAAAAGGGACAGCCATACTCTGGGATGCATCAGGCCCAGCACAGACACCAGATGAGGAGAGAGGTTGTCCTACTCTGCTCTGTGCTGACATGGCCTCACCTACTGTAGAGCAGGTGAGGCTCTACAGTAAAGTGCAGGTTTGGGCACTACAATCTAAGAAGGACATAAAGCTATTAGAGAACATCCAAAGGAGGGCTACAAAGATGGTGAAGGGTCCAAAGGGCAAGATGTGTGAGGAGCAGCTGAGGTCTGTTCAGGCTGGAACAAAGGAGGCTGAGGGGAGGCCTTGTGGCAGACTACAGAATGGCATGGAGCTGCCTCAGGAAAAGGTTCTGCACCAGAGGGTGCTTGAGCACTGAACAGGCTCCCCAGGGCAGTGGTCATGGCACCAAGCTGCAAGAGTTCAAGGAGCGTTTGGACAATGCTCTCACACATAGGGTTTGGATTTTAGGTGGTCTTCTGTAGAGCCAGGAGTTGGTCTTGGTGATTCCTGTCAGTCCTTTCCAAATGAGGGCATTACATGAAAATAACCCCAAAACAAATCAAATTTTCAGCAAATGATTTGGAATGATTCTATAATTACCAAACCATCAGCACATTCAACTTCACATTATTTCCACATCTTGGAAAATGAATGAAAAATAACAAATATTAAGCATATTGCTAAAGGCACTAGTGAGAGACTTGATGAAATTGTAATATAAATAGTGTGTAAACTTCAGTAGATAACACAGGAAAGTATTTAATAGTTAACTAAGCTAAGAACAAAAAGATCATTAAGTCATGTCCCTGCTATCACAGGCAGATCTTACCCGCATGAACATTGCGACTGTTTTGACAGTCATGAGGTCATAAAACATATTTCTCAAAAATATTTGGACACTTTAATTAGATGCTTTAAAAGGGAGAGGCTATGTACCATAATGTATAAAGTTCATAAACACACATATCATGTTGCACAATAATTTCCTGTTGCTTGAAATATATTCTAAATTATTTCATTTAAATTTATTGGAAATAGATAACTTTAAATTAGGCAGCAGTACTGGGCAATGAGTTACATTTTACTCATCAGTCACAAACAGTCTTACAGTGGATCTAACAAAACTGCAGCATTATAACATAGAAAAAAAAAGCTAAAAAGCTAAAAAGTAAAACTGATCTAAGTATATTTGCTACTGTTAAAGCTGACACTGTTGAAGGATCAGTGTTGTTTTAGGGTTTCACTTGAACACAAAACTTACTGCATTCAGCAAGGAAACATCACTAAAGATGGTTCTAGCTGCAGTTTTATAAGTGTCTATTTTCCCATTGAACTGATGACCCAATTGACCTATGCAAATCATTCATGGAGTGCAGTTTACTCACAGATGAAAGATTCAATGATCCACCTGCATATAAAGTATAGTTGCTCAATATATCTGTAACAAGCCCAGTACACCCTATGTTATGCACGCAAACTCAATAGCACGATTAATACACCCAATACCTTTAATCCCTGGAGAATACAAACAAAACCCAGTGCAGGTTAATAACAAACTAAATGGAATTAACAGCCTGCTGCATCAACCATGAGGAACAAGTAGGTGATCTGAGACAGACAGCATGGCTTCACCAAAGGCAAATCATGCCTCACCAATCTGGTCAACTCCTAAGATGGAGTGACAACATCAGTGGATCATGGAAGGACAACTGATGCTATTTATTTGGATTTGTGCAAGGCTTTTGAAGTGGTTGCGCACCATATCCTTATCTCTAAAGTGGTAGAGTAGACTATTCAGTGGATAAGGAATTGGTTGGAAGGTAGCAGCCAGAGGGTAAATGTGGTAAATGGTTCTGTACCCAGGTAGAGGCTGGTGATGAGTGGTGCCCCACAGGGGTCTGTCTTGGAACCTGTTGGAATCTTTATCAGTGACATAGATAATGGGATTGAGTGCATGCCCAGCAAGTTTGCTGATGATACCAAGCTGTGTGATGCAATTGACACAACAGAAGGAAAGATTGCCATCCAGAAGGACCAGGAGTGGTTTGAAAAGTGGGCCCATGTGAACCTAATTAAGTTCAACAAACCCAAGTGCAAGGTTTTGCACTTTGGTCGTGGCAATCCCTGATATTTATACTGACTGGGAGAAGAACACATTGAGAGTACCTGTGCTGAGAAAGACATAGGGGTCCTGGTAGATGAAAGACTTAACATGAGCCAACAGCGTGCACTTCCGGACCGAAAGGGCTGCATCAACAGAGGGGGGCCAGCAGGAAGAAGGAGGAGATTGTCCCTTTTTACTCTGCCCTTGTGAGGCCCCATATTGAGTACTGTGTCCAGGTCTGGGACCCCCAGTACAAAAAGGACATCAAGTTGGAGGAGCAGGTCCAAGGGAAGGCCACAGAGACATTCAGAGGGCTGGAGCACCACTCCTACAAAGACAGGCTGAAGGAGCTGGGCTTGTTCAGCACAGAGAAGTCTGGGGAAACCTCACTGCGGCATTCCAATACTTAAAGAGAGCTTATAAAAAGGAAGGAAATCAACTTTTTACACGGGCAGATAGCAATAGGACAAGGAGGGGGGAGGAAGGGTTGAACTAAGAGGGGAGATTTGGATTAGATGTTGGCGAAATTTTTCACTGTGACAACAGTGAGGTGCTGGAACAGGCTGCCCAGAAAAGCTGTGGAAGTCCCATCCCTGGAGGTGTTCAAGAAACATGCAGATATGGCATTGAAGGACGTGGGGTTAGTAGGCATGGTGATGATGGGGTGGCAGTTGGACTAGATGATCTTTGTGGTCTTTTCCTACCCTAACGATTTTATGATTCCAGGAGGACCCCAGGCTCCCTCCCCATGCCTGTCCTGAGCTGTTGGGCGACGCCCAGGGAGCAGGAGGCTGAGGGGGCGCCAACACACAAACCCCACCCTCCCAGAGCCTGGCGCCGAGAAGACAGCGCATGCGCTCTGCTCAGCCGCCTGCCCCGCTCCGCCCTCGTCTCGCTCGGAGCCAATCAGAGCGCCGGACGCTGTGTGGCGGAAGTGCGTTCTCGTCGGGATCGCGACGCTATGGCTGCTGGCTCTGCTGTGCTGCTGACGCGGGCTCTGGAGGCGCTGGGTGAGGGGACGGCAGCTGAGGGGAAGTGGGAAAGAGCTCAGTCCCGGGTCTGCGGGTTAGCGGGAAGGCCGCCTGGGGGTTCTCATTCTCAGTGTGTCGCGCCGATGAGAGCCTGTTCCTCAGGTAGCGGTGCGGCCTGTTTCCGAGGGGCCCTGGGGAACCTGGCGCTCCTCCAGCGGCTTACGGGGGGTCCCAGCTGCTGGGAGGAGGTCCGGACAGGGTCCCTCTCTCGGCTGCGGTGAGCTGAGCTCGAGGGCAGCAGCTCATTGCTGCTGGTCCTCAGTGCCCGAGAAGGGGGCTTTTTGTTTGACAGTAGTGCTGACAAACTGTGCAATTGCATAGGCTGTGTTTGGGGCTCTGAGGTATCTGTCATTCCTATTCCTGATCTGTTGATATAATTCAGGATGAAATCCATTAAATAAAGCTCTGCTCTTGAGGTAAATAATACCATGCAAGCCTATGATTTCTACAAAGATGATTTATTACTAATAAAGCTTAAAGGACTTGCTTCTGATCACTATTGTTTGTGTTTTTCAGATGTTGGTGGTGCAGCAGATAAGATTAATTTGATGCCTCAAGACTTTTTTGCAGAACTAGTAAGTAGAACAGCAAGGGGGATATGGAAGGGCTTCAGGCACAGAGATCCCAGCAAAACTCCTTCAGTTCACTGCTTTCTGCGTGTTGCAAAGTGGAGCTTATGTATATATGACATAGGTTTACGTGAAATAGACCAGCCCTGCCAGAGCAGAAGGATGGCTTAAAGTTTGTTTTCATTACTGAAGACATTTAAGGTTTTGGTTTTGTTTGTTGTCTTAATGAGATATAAAGCTCAATAAGTCCTGAAAAAAATTCAGCTTCTTTGTATCATAAAGCATTGTGCACTTGAAGAAGATGGCTATTCATTACTATGAAAATGACATGTTAAGAAAGAAAATGTGAGGTAATACCAAAAAGTTTTGAATTAGTTGATTTTTCTTGGGTTTGATTTTTATTTCAGTTGCTTACGTGATCTTATTTTTCATTTTCCATTTAAAATCTCATCCTGTTGTCCATTTTTATGTCAACCAGTTTTCATTGCTGTTGTAATCTCCAAGCATTAAAACGACTGTTTACAAGAGTGGATAGTGATAAAAGAGGGGGGAATGGAATGGTTTTAAACTGAAACAGGGAAGGTTTAGATTAGATATTAGGAGGAAGTTTTTCACTCAGAGGGTGGTGATGCACTGGAACACATTGCCCAAGGATGTTATGGATGCCCCATCCCTGGAGGCATTCAAGGCCAGGCTGGATGTGGCTCTGGGCAGCCTGATCTAGTGGTTGGTGATCCTGCACATAGCAGGGGATTGAAACTAGATGATCATTGTGGTCTTTTTCAACCCAGGCCATTCTATGATTCTTTTCAAACTTGCTTATCTAGTTTATTAAAACATGCTTTGAAAATATTTTTAAATTTATTTTCTTTGCAGTGTGAGCAGATAATTCAACATCTGAACCATAAGATCCCAGGTGTAAATACAGTTGAACTGTGTCAGGTAAGTTTGGATATTAGCACTTAAAAGCAAGCATAATAGCATTATGTATTGTGATGTATACGTTCTGCAGGTTAAATAACTTGTGCGTGCATATGTATGTACTTATAAGAAACTTTTTAAACTCAAAAGTTGTAATCTTAATTATTTGATCATCATTAGAGACTGCAAACATCTGGGATTGAGGTTAATGTTGGTGACCTGGCAAAAATAACTAACGCTGTGTCCTTTTTGTTTAGGTAAGCACACAATAATTTATATTTTCCTTATCTTTCTTTTTTTTTTTTTTTTCCTCTCTATACCAACCTAATAGCAATATTACAACAAAATAGCAATGTTACAACGTAACATGCATGAAATAAAATGATTTGGGAAAAGGGCTTTGTTTATGTTCATAAGGATAAAAAAGTGTGGTACCTACACATATAGACTCAGTAACTACAAAAATAGAGAGGAAATTGTTGTTCTTTGAACCTGTCTGTAAGCTTTGGAACCGGAGTGTTTTTTTCTCTGTTTTTTTTTTTTTTTTTTTTTGCTTGATGTTTCCATGGGAGTTAATTGAGTAGTGCTTTTTGCGGCCTTTCCTCTAGACTCACTGCCTTTTTATTTGGGAGCTTATTGCATCATTTGACTCCTGTTAGTGCAAATTATACCATTGCCTGGAGGTCCTTAAATACCTCTTGAGTTTCTTAAATTGCTTCTCCTAAATGTTTAATTAAACTGCCACATTTTGAAGTTAATAATACTGGTTAATAGTCTTAAATTGTTGGAGAATTAAACAGATATGGTGTTGTTTGGATTTTCCTATAGCACAGCAGCCAGGAACAATCTCTCTACAGAGGAGCTCATCACTACCTTGGGCAGCACAGTCAACACGCTGCCTAAACATGCGATACAGGTTATTCGTCATGTATGGAATGAGCAGGGCAAATCTGTTAGTGTGCCAGAAGATAAAGGAAATGTGACCACAGTGGGCCAGGTAACTAGACAATACAATGTATCTGAACTAATGATTTTTCTGAATTGGCAGTGCTTCATTGTCCCTGTTGTATTGTCAAGCACAAAGCGTATTTTGATTGCCCAGAAATGAGGAAAAAGTAGTCTTTGTTTGGAGCTGGGTAGTAAGCTTCTGAAAGCTCACCTTACTTCTTTGTTAAATATTTCTACCTGTCATGAAAGGGTAAAAATGGTAACTTATGCAGTCTGAAATGTGTTTACAATGTTCTTTATACAAAACAGTTACTGATAGTTTCATTTTTTTCAGTTATTGCTTCTGTAAAATTTTTGTGTACTCTGAGCTTTTTCTCATGTTTCCATTTGATTTAGAAGCTTCTAATGAGAACATGTCAAAAACACAAATGACATACAAGCCAAGTGAACTCTGTGACTTAAGCTTCTATTTCTAGCACTTCTTGAATATTGTCAGTATTTTACAAAGTGAAATAGATTAAGTGAAATAAATCATCATTTTTCTTTCCACTACTAAAGGGAACAGCAAATCAAAATAATATCTGTGTATGTTTATTTCCTATTTAGATATGGGCTCTTAATGTCCTATATTGTCTATCAAAACATCTGCCCAAAACTATAGCAACAATAGGCTATATTTCTTTAGTACTCTTTTCAATAACTTTTTTTCTCTGCAGTTTGTAGATATTAAATGGAAACTGGGAGTTGCAATGAGCTCTGACACCTGCAGGTCCCTGAAGTATCCATATGTTACGGTGACACTAAAAGTAGCAGACCCCTCAGGACAAATAACCAACAAATGTTTTGAAATGACAGTCCCACAGTTCAAGGTCTGTAATCCCGTGTTGTCTCTTGTCATTTGATTCAGTCCTTTTGGTGACATAGTTGTGAAAAAGCAAATGTGTACTTTATATACAGTTGTGATGCTTACTAATATGGAAATTAAAAGACTAAACACTAAGTAATTGTTTAAAATACTGAAGATAAGTACCTATTCTGTGGTATTTAATTCTGCACCACTTGGCCTAAAATGTTAATTCAGCAGCAGTTTGTTCTCTTACACTTTGGCTTAGCAGAAAAGGCAGATCTAAATTCCTCAATTCTATCCCTCTGCCTTACCAAAAACGGTGAGTATTCTGATTCCGTGAAATTGCTAACCTCAGGTTAAGTCCTGGCAGTTGGACAGAAGGGACTTTAAGGAAGGTATTATGAATTCTTGAGTGTTCTGAAATCTTGTATTCCATCGGCTGAAACCTATTTCACAGTTTGCTGTTCAGCTAATATGAGAAAGGGATGCTTGCTCTGTGTGAGAAATGTGGATTATTTCAACTGGGAATAGACGTGTTTGCCTGAGTAGTTTTTGCGTTTTGTTTTGTTTTTTTTTCTTTTGTGGTTTAGCAGTTATTTCGAGTGTTTTCCCATAGCATCCTCTCCTATCAGTAAGCACGGTCATACAAATAATTCATCATACGTACAACTGAATAGTTAGTGCATCCAGATGGCAACCATCTCACAAAAAGAAACGCTCAAACTTCCAGTTCAACATGCAAATTGTAACTGAAGAAAGAAGGAATGCGAGAAACATAAAATGATTTTGCCTAATGTGATAGTTTGCTCTTAAGTTCAGGCTTTTCTTTGTACAACTAAAATTTATATTAATTCTTGCTTTTCAGAACTTCTTCAGACAGTTCAAGGAAATAGCGGCTGTTCTTGAAACAGTTTGAACAGAACTGTTATTGATACTGAAATTTCTGAGAGATGTGTATCAGGTAAACTTTCTGTTCTGCACAGGACATATAGTGCCATTGTTCAGCAAGGCACGTATCCTTATCCTTTTGATGGGTATTTGTCACAGTCATCCTTACATAGCTGTGAAGTTTTCTTTGCTTCTGAATACTTGAAGCCAATTCTGTTTATAAAAGTGGTCAGCTTGGTTCATCCTGATAAACAGAAGATCAGGCTCTGTACAGAAAAATGTCACTGTAGACCTTTTTTACTCTCAGAGTGAAAAAATACATTTAAGAAACTACACATTTGGCTCCAGAATACAGAAGGATGTGAAAATGTTAATTTGACTGAGAAGATACTAAGAGAATTGTAAATCTGACATTAACAGTTTAGTCTGTAAAATTGAGATGTGGCTGGAATCAACAATAATAAACTGTATGGAGTATATGAAATTACACATGGCAAGCATACAATTATTCTTGAAGAATAGCCATGTTAAGTAGTTAGTTGCAGGTATTTGCACACCAGGCTTTCAGTTTTCTTTTAAATGGAATATGCACTTGTCCTAATGGATTGACTATTTTGAATACTTATTTCTTACCACCCAGACTTCTGAAAATTAAATTTCCCTGAAAACCTACTTTTTTCTCTGAAATGAAGCCTGGAGGTTAGTTTTAAATATAGGAAGAAAGTTGAATTTAATTCTGGAGCATTTTAATGTGTTTTTTCCTTTCTATTTAATCCAGTTCTAATCTGTGGCACTCTGCTTGATGTTCTTCTTAGCAGCCTGCTTTCTGATTAAATTAAAATATTGATGTGGCTGCCTCACTCTGTGCTCCGAACTAGAAAAACTGGGAAGAGGCTTAAAAGTTCAGGCTAGCGCATTAGTCATACACATCAGAGAAATGACTATACTGAAAGTCAACAAGTGTTTGGCAGGAGTCTGGTGGACTGTGTTGCTTTCTCACACAGAAAATGTCCTAACCAGTAAAATTTTGACTTTGATTCTGAAGGCGAATGGGGACATTTTCAAAGGGAGAATGATAAATGTAGTATGCTTGCATTTCATTTTTTCTTCCGTTTAACCTTTAAAACTAGAAATATGGCAGGGTCTTTAAAAAACACTACTGTTGCATTTCAAGACTTGCTGGTGATGTAGTAAGGCAGATAAATCTGAACAGAGACAATTCACGCTGATAAGCTGCTGGAATTTATGCCATGGCTTCAGACTAAGAAGCAGTGTTGTTGGGACA